TAGTAGTAGTCGTCGTGGACGCAGCTGCTCACCTGCGCGCAGGAGGCGGCGGGGGAGACGGGCCAGCGCTGGTACTGCCACTGTGGTGCGCTCTACTCGACCTCCCACGGCGTCTGCATCGAGCTGATAGAGGAGGAGCTGGCCCCGCCACGTGCGTACTACATGCACGCGGAACATCCCGAGGAGGACACCCGCGACTTAAAGGCCCTGCTGCGCTACGACAAGCTCAAGAAGGAGGAGGTACCTGTGTTCAGCGCGGTGGACCTCCTGAAGTACCTGCCCAAGGTCGAGCCGCTGGCAGTGGGCACCGTCTTCAAGCGCTACGCCCCGCACCAGCCGCAGTGGGAGGGCCACTACGTGCTGATGGAAGGGGCTCTCCTGGGAGAGCCTGACCGAGTTCAAGTGGACGGACCTGTACGCGCAGGTCGCCTGGGGACTGAACGACCCAGATGGGGGCGGGTTATAGCAAGAAGTCGCGGAATAAGGCCAAGAGGGAGCGCCTGGAGATGGCGTACAGGGAGTTGGCGCGCTACGAGCGCCGCCACAACCTGCGGGAGGACAGCCTCACGGGCGGCGGGGGTGGCACAGGGGCCGCCCCGCGCGCCACCCCCGTCCGCACCGCCAGCGCCCCTCCAGCGGGGGGGGGGCCCGCGGCAGCCAGGACCCGCCACCACCGCCTGTCGGAATCCCGCCAGCGGCCGCGGCCATCATGGCCCCTCCGCCGCCGCCGCTGACGGCTCCCCCAGCGGTGCCGCCGCCGCCGACGACGGACCCGCTGCCGCAGACGGATCCGCTCCCGCAGCAGATCCCAAATGCTGCAGCCCTGAACGTGGCCCTCGGTGAAGACCTCGAGCGCCAGATGTTTGGGCCCTCAGGGCAGGCGGGCGGCAGTGGCGACCTCGGTGGGGAAGTGCAGGCGCTGCCGTCGCAAGTCTTTGCGGCCATTGTGCAGGGAGCAGGCCAGCCTGCCTGAGTGTTGAAACCCAGCAAGTACCAGGCCCTCGGCAGGCCACGTGAGTTCATGCCAAGATGGTTTGCTTGCCACTTTCAATAGTGCAACCTGCCCACAGTGGCACCCCCTCGTGTGTCTGCACCTGTGGCTTTAGCCTTTGCTCGGCGTACGGTCGCCCGTGCACCTAGCTATCCTGGCCCGCCAACTGGCTTGCCATCTTGGCCTCCCCTCACGCTCACTTGCGCTCGTGGGCCTCGCTGGCGGTGCTGGGCGCCCCGTGTACTGCTGCGTCGCCGTTGGGCGCCTGGCCATTTTGGCCTGCCATCCTGGCCTCCTCTCGCGCATTCTTGCGCTAGTAGGCCTCGATGGTGGTACTGGGGTCGCCCCGTGTGCTGCTGTGCCGCCGCTGGCGCTTCACTTTGGGCCGTAGGGACCAGCTGCACTCGGCCAGGCGCCTGCCGCTACATGCACGTCAGACCCGCCCTTGGCTTGCCATCCTGGCCTCTTCTCGCGTCTTCTCGCGCTAGTTGACCTGGGTGGCGGTACTGGGGTCGCCCCGTGTGCTGCTGTACCGCCGCTGGCGCTTCACTTTGGGCCGTAGGGACCAGCTGCCCTCGGACAAGCGCCTGACTCTACAAGCACGTCAGACCCGCCCTCTCACCCACAAGAGGTGCCCGTTACATACTGGCAATGAGGCAGCCACAAGGACGCTCTTCCCATGGTGGTTGATCCGTGGTGATGTGGTGCACGAGACCGCCAGTAGTAGTAGTAGTAGTAGTAGTAGTAGTAGTAGTAGTAGTAGTAGTAGTAGTAGTAGTAGTAGTAGTAGTAGTAGTAGTAGTAGTAGTAGTAGTAGTAGTAGTAGTAGTAGTAGTAGTAGTAGTAGTAGTAGTAGTAGTAGTAGTAGTAGTAGTAGTAGTAGTAGTAGTAGTAGTAGTAGTAGTAGTAGTAGTAGTAGTAGTAGTAGTAGTAGTAGTAGTAGTAGTAGTAGTAGTAGTAGTAGTAGTAGTAGTAGTAGTAGTAGTAGTAGTAGTAGTAGTAGTAGTAGTAGTAGTAGTAGTAGTAGTAGTAGTAGTAGTAGTAGTAGTAGTAGTAGTAGTAGTAGTAGTAGTAGTAGTAGTAGTAGTAGTAGTAGTAGTAGTAGTAGTAGTAGTAGTAGTAGTAGTAGTAGTAGTAGTAGTAGTAGTAGTAGTAGTAGTAGTAGTAGTAGTAGTAGTAGTAGTAGTAGTAGTAGTAGTAGTAGTAGTAGTAGTAGTAGTAGTAGTAGTAGTAGTAGTAGTAGTAGTAGTAGTAGTAGTAGTAGTAGTAGTAGTAGTAGTAGTAGTAGTCGTGGTAGTCCTAGTGAAGCAGAAGAACAACAAGTAATTAGTTGTCGTCGTCGCCGTCGTCGAAGATGTCGTCGAAGACGTCGCCGTCGTCCTCGAGCTCGTCGTCATCGTCGTCGTCAACATCGTCGTCGTCGTCGTCGTCGTCAGGCCTAGACTGCGTTGGATACAGCAGACCGCCCCGATGGGCATGTCGCGCGGAGCGTCCACCCCGCAGCCGATCCTTGGCCCTCTTGCCAGTCACGGCACTGTCACTGCGCGGCGATCGCCCCAGCAGGTCCTGCAGCTCGGGGCCCGCCAGCATCTTGAGGCGGAGCTCCTGCCCCCCCATCCGCCCCCTCCTTCCACCTCCTCCTCCCCTCCTTCCCAGCCATGTGCTCCTCATCGTCACCCTCATCTTTCTGTTCGTACAAGTCCCTCTGCACCGCCTCCCGCTGCTCCCCTCCATCCTGGGGCCACCTCCGAACCTCCGCCGCGTCCGTTCCAGCTCGTCCCGGAGTGGTCCGAGAGCGATCTGGAGCGACTTATCCTATCCGTGTCCTGCCTGACTCCTACCCCTTCTCTTCACCTCCTCAAGCCCCATCCTCGGTCCGCCCCCCTTTTTCTACTCCTGCCCTTGAGGGTCCAAACAAGCAGATCCCCCTCGCCACCAGGACAGCCCTAAGCGAAGTTCACTGGCACCACCAATTCTGCCAACAAACACTGGCACACGGAAGCCCGGCGCGTTCAGGCTTCAGCCCGGCCCTGAGCAGACAGCAGGCAGCAGGCTGGCCTCTCCTTTATCTGACCCCGACCCAGGGAAGATAGGCACCTCGTCCGCCTGGCCGCCCTGGCTGGCTCTGCGGGGCCCGCCCGCAGCCGAGCGCCGCCAGTCCTTTGCGCCTCACGTGCGGCCCAGGGGCCTACCGCCTGTACAGGCCAGCCCTGGATCCTGTCACACATCGGACTCAACGAGAATGCGTGGAGAGCAAGGAAGGGGAAGGCACAGATGGGGAGTAGCGTACGCAAGTGGTGGTTAGGAGGATCAGGCGAAGGCAGGGTAGAGCTACCCAATCATCTCTCGAGATGGTTTGCACCGCGAGATATATCAGCGCACTCCCGTCGTGGATTGAGTAAAACTAAAAGTTGGTGTCCGATCGCGTGTCCTGAAACCTGGGCTGGGAGCATCGTGGCGGTCCTAAATTCGGGCCGGGCGAAAGGGGGGGATAGCAAAGGGGGGGTTTGAGAATCAGCTCACGTAGCTGATTTCTTCGGCGCCTCCGGGCGCCGGAGGCGGCTATGTATCGAGGAATGGGCCCCTGGGTGGGGCCGAAACCAGCTGCATGCAGCAGATTTCGTAACCCACCCTTTCCCAATCCCCCCCTGTCGTCCGGCCCAATAAATGCTCGCAACCATCAGGAACTCTATCACCAGGAGGAGAGCGGCCGACCGAGGGACATGAGCGTCACGGGAAAATCGGCACACAGGCTGTTGTAATGCCGCGCGCGACCGACCTGGTCCCCCCTCCTCGTATCCCACCTCCTGTGCTCCCATCAGCAAGCGCTGCGAGGGCTGCCCTCCATCCGGGCGCCGGCCGCGAGCTCGGCGACCAGGTCTCCGGCGCAGGCCAGTGAGACTTAAAAGTTGATAGCTGCGCACCCGCGCTGCTTAGAGCCGAGCTCTGCCGACTGCGCACCTGGCAAAGGCCGTGGCAGGCGGTGCTGCCGAACTAATTTCATATCAAATTGCGAACTTCGGTGGCGCGCGACAAGCCGTGTGTGGGTGCCACTGGATGCACTGCACGAGCAGTCCGGAGAGCTCGTTCCAGGCGTCCGGGCGGTGTCGCTGCAGCTGCATGCTCCAGCCCTCTAGCCGGTTCATGAAGCCCTCCACGCTGGCCTCGGCAGCCGCACGCCAAGGCTGCTCCAGATCGGCGTACGGGTCCTCGGCGCCCAACCGCCGGCAGGCCCCCGCCACCGACCTGCGCACCAGCACCTCCCAGGCCGCCGCTTGGAAGTCCACGGAGCGCTCCTCCCCGCTGGCGGTCTCGCCCACCATCAGGCAAGACACCACTGTGGCCAGCGTGCGCTGGAGGTCAGCTACGACTGCCCCGACCTTGCTTGGCAGCTGGCGGGCCCCATCGCCTGGCGGGGGCGCGGCGAGGTGGTGAGGCAGGAAGGCCGTTGCGAACGTCTCGAGCGGACCTCTGGGGTCCGAGAACACGGAGAGGCATACGAGACTGGGCACAACCAGGAACAGTTCCGCGTCGTAGTGCTCACACATCTGTCGAAGCCCAGGCACAATCTTCTGCGCAGACCACAGCGACCAGCCCAGCTGGCGGACGGCGGCCAGCATGCCCATGCTCTGGGCGTAGTGCTCCCAGCAAGACAGGCTCTCCTGCCAGCTGGTGAGCCTGTCGACGAGCCCAGGGTTCTTGCACAGGAGAGGGTTCAGCTCGTCGAAGTGGCCCTGCACCCTCTCCAAGTAGTCGCGCAGGTCCTGGTAGGAGTTCGCCACGCGCCTCGCCAGAAAGACGGCGAGGTCGGGGGCCCGCGCGCCGCTTCGGCGGCCATTGGCCAGATGCGCTCGAGCAGCGTCGAGGGCCGCCTTCTGCTGCTCTGGGGAGCGGGTGCGGCTCTTAGAGGCGATGGCCTCGTGCAGGCGCTCCAAGCAGTCCAGCAGCCGCAACTCGGCCCATCGGCACTCCTCCGCCGGACAGACCCAGGCTTGCCAGTGCAGGGCAGCGCTGCCGCCGCTGGAGCACGCATCGCTGCGCTCCTCGGCGGAGGGACTCCTCCTCCGCGACGGCCCTGAGCACCATGAGCCTGGCGCGCCTCTGCATTCGCAGCAGCTCTCCAAGGTAGGGCTCCTCGAAAGCCACCCAGGCTGCGTCCAACGCGAGAAGATGCCCGCAGGGGTGATCGCGGCCACGCCGTGGACCGCACCTGGCCGAGAGCAGCTCGGAGAGGAATCTCCAGATGTCGAGCCATGCGAATGAGAGAACGTCGGCACGCTACATTATCTTTGGGCTCTGCTGGAAAGCCTCTCCGTTGACCCAGACAACTGCCGTCAATGCCATCGACGCTCTGAGTATGTCAACGCGGTAGCCCTGGCAGTTGGAGAAGCTGTAGAGATCGGAGAACTGTCTGAGGTATCTACGCGAACGCTGCTTGAGACCGAGGGCGGTCGCAAGGTCCTGCAGGGCGGACATGATTTTATCCCATTCCACAGTGCCCATCTGCAGCGCCTGCTTGCCCCCCCTGGCTGCCAGCTCTGCAAACTCGTCCGCCAGCAGGAGGAGGAGGCCGAGCTCCTCCCGAACGAGAAGGACGAGCAGGGGGGAAGTAGTGGGAGAGAGAGAGAGAGGAAACAGAAAGAAGGAACAAGAGGAGGAGGTCCTTCGAGCTGAAGTCGGGCGCCGCCTTCCCCACGACCTCGTGTGCTCTATCTAACACGACGCTGGCGCGTGAATGAACGATACGATGGTGCTTGCTGTGGGGCATGGGCTGGATCGTATCGACGGCCGATTGCCTCTTGCACGTGTCAAATGAATTGCCCTGAATCAAACACCCTGAGCCAACGACGGCGTAAACCGAAATGCTCCGGATATACGAACCATGGGGAGGCAACGTAGCACATAAGGATAACCAACATACCCCTGACCCCTGACACTTACCTCTTACTGGAGGTAACGGCGAATTGACCCCTACTCTACAACGCTCCCCGCTAGAATCCGACCTCCTCCTCCTGACACAGGAAGTAGAGCTGACACTTAAGTCATGTCCCCCCGCCCTATTCTGCAGCCCCCTTTGCTCAAACCTGCGAGAAGCGGCAATTGGAGGGGAGGAGGGAGAAGGGGGATGAGGAGGAGGAAGAGACTGGGAAGGCGGAAAAGAAGATACGAGGGACAAATGAGGAGAAGACGAGGAGGCGGGGGAGGGGAAGGCAGCCAGCCATGAGCTTACCCCGATCCCCGAGCTCCTCCTCCTCACCCTCCTCTGTAGATTCAGATGCCCACTGTTGCCCTATCACCGCCATCCGCCGTTCTGTCGTACCAACATCGTTGGCCATACGCACTAGACCATACATACAAACCAGACAACAGCAATCACACACACATTCTACAAATCTGGGCGGTCCAGGCAGACGGCAGAGGCTCCGACACGAAGCCCGAGCGAGCACAGCGGAACCGACTCTCAGACGTCCCATCATCGTCGGAGACACTTCAAGGCAAAGGATTACAGGTACAGCCTGCCAAGTGGATCACATTTCAGATCCTCACCCTCCCCACAGTCCTCCTTAACTGCATGCCAGATGTCTTCCACACCGTCATCACAAACATCAGCAGCAGCAGGTCCATCGTCATCACCACCATCCAAATCATCAAATCATCGTCATATCTTCATAAGCAGCATCACTATCGCCAGCATCACCATCATCATCAGCATCATCATCATCAGCATCATCATCATCATCATCATCATCATCACCATCATCATCATCATCATCATCATCGTCATCACCATCATCAACAACATCATCATCAGTATCAGCATAATCATCATCACCATCATCATCATCAGCATCAGCATCATCATCCTCATCAACAACATCGTGGTCATCAGCATCACCATCAGCATCGTCATCAACATCACCATCATCACTATCGTCACCACCGCCACCCCATCATCATCGCCATCAGCATCATCAGCAGCATCACCATCACCATCGCCATCAGCACCATCATCATCACCACCACAATCATCATAATCATCATCATCAACATCATCATCATCACCATCATCAGCGTCATCAACATCGCCATGAACATTATTCTCATTCCCGTCATGTCCCTCATCTCCAACCTTTCTACTTATGGATAGCTCCCCCTGTCGCACCGAAAGACTTGTCGATAGAGCAGACTAGGCGTTTCGCCTGAAACTTCATCACTTTCGATCCTGAAGCTTGAAATGCGCACCAGGCGCGAGTTTGGATCAAACATCGTTTCCAAGATGGGGCTCTCGCATTAGCGTCGCGCTGGTTAGCCTCAAAAGCTTGCAACGGCTACACAAGGACGGAGGAGGGTCGAAACACTGGTTCCTTGTCGTAGCGCCACGCACATTCGCGTGAAACTCTGCAAGAGTTAATTACAACGGTGCATGGCGGGGGAGGCGTTTTCGAGTTTCAGCTCAAACCTAAGCAACGCGCAGATTCGTGTTCAATCTGAGCTTGAACAACTACAAGGTTGGAGGCCGGCTCTTGTACTAAAGAAGACTCTCGCCCGATCAAGCCTCAACTGTACATACCAAACACCTCAACATGTGTAGCAGGTTCACGGGTGGATGGCGCTTCCTGTTCAAACTGAGCTCGGGACTTTCTCGAAGCTCATGGGCATAAATGGAGATTTGTGCAACAATTGCACGGATAAGGGGGCGGTGCTTTTGCAAAACGGGGATCTCGTTGGACATATCGCTGAACAGTGTGACCATACCTCTTCGCATCCCTGGTTTGCGCCAGGAGGATGCACGGCAGTTCCTTCTGAAGATGGGGATCTCGCGAGAACGGTAGGCCCCCAGGGTGCCAGGGTTCAGAAGGGCCGTCTCGGGCAATGAACAAGAAGGCTTGTGGGGACTTGTGAGGAGGACTCTCTGGACGGGAGGGTGTGCTGCCGCATCGGCGACGCACTTGGGAATGACTCTGGTCCTCCGTTTGCCCACATCACCCACCGCTCCACATGGCCCGACGGGCCAAAGGCATACTAAATCCTCGGGTAGCAGCTTTAGAATACTTCTAGTTCGCGCGCTCGTGGCTGCCCCTGGGGGTCCCTGGACGATCAGTACCCCATGCAAATCCCGGGCGGTCCCGCATTCAAGAGCGTCTCAAGAGGCTCCCAAGGCGGTCCAAGAGGGCATACCGGAAGTCGTTCCAAGATGCCCACGATAACCTCCTGACGGCTTCAACCGCCTCCAAAACGCCCGAAGATGCCTCCAAGACCACTCCCAAGAAGCCCCCTTGAGGCAACATTCAAGGACTTTCCATCGGCATTTGAAGGATTTCAGCGTTCTCACCTTTTAGGCCGCCGACGCTCTAAGACGGCCCAAGAAGCCCCAAAGATCGCTCCAAGACGGTCCGTTAAGCCTCCAAGCGAGCCCCAAAACGGCCAGCGGGTACTCCAAGACTGCCCAAGTTTCTCCCAAAACGGCGCTGGAGGGCCCCAAGACCCAAGACACCTTCAGGAAGACCCTTCGAGCGGGAGCCCCAACGGACATTTCGAGCGCTCGGCCTTACAATCGCCCCCAGAGCCCCCCCCCCCAGACCTCTGAATGGCTCTGCATAGGCCTTCGGCCTCCAAATCGCCCTCGGAGCCTGCCCCCCAGGTCTCTGAGGAGCTCCCACTAGGCCCCGCGAGGCTCCTAAGAGGCGCCCAGGAGGCCGCAAGAGGCCGTCAAAAAAGCTGCTGTAACAGCTCCAAAAGCCCTTCGAACCCTCGGTCCCAAGAGGCGTCCAGGCTGCCCCAAGCGGCCCACAAGAGCCCTCCAAGAAGGTCCAAGAGGCTCCCAAGAGGCGCCAAGAGAGCCCCGAGAGGCATCCAAGGCGCCCGCAAGAGGCCTTCAAAAACACCCAGAAACATGCATGAGGACTTTCACCCACAACCGCAACAGCGCCGACCGGCAGCGCCGCATGGCCCACGAACGCGCACGCACACGCCAACGATGGCACAATACAGGCCGGCGGAAAGAGCGAAGCGATTCAAAACATCGGAGGTTGGGAGACTGGAACGGAAGTGACCCCAACTGGGATATCGATTTCGGTTTCGGTTCGTGCCGCGCGTGCGGGCGAGGCGAACCTGCGCGAGTTCCATCCTTGGTAGAAGCCATCTATTTCCAAAAAGGTCGCCTCCCAAGCGCTGGGCGTGGTTCCCGGTTGTCTTGGCGGTTGTCCCGATGGCTGTCCCGATGGTTATCCCGATGGTGGCCACGATGTTTGTCCCGAGGCTTGTCCCGATGGTTTTCAGATAGTTGTCCCGATGGTTGTCCCGATGGTTGTCCCGATGGTTGTCCCGATGGTTGTCCCGATGGTTGTGCCGATGGTTGTCCCGATGGTTGTCCCGATGGTTGTGCCGATGGTTGTGCCGATGGTTGTCCCGATGGTTGTCCCGATGGTTGTCCCGATGGTTGTCCCGATGGTTGATTGAGAGATAGATAGATGGATCTATACATATAGATTTCTATGTGTACATATATAGACATATATATATATACACCGATAGGTCTATAGATATGGTTGTCCCGATGCTGCCCTGGGATGGGCGCGAAACTGCGAATCGCAAATGTTGCAAAGCGTTCCGCACGACTCGCGCGCGAAACGTATGCGAATCATGCATATTGCAAAGCGTTTCGCGAATGTTGCAAAGCGCTTCGCGCGCGCAGCGCGCAAAACGCACGACACATATCTACATAATAAGACAGATAAGGAAATAATTCGTTATACCGATGGGCAGGCCGATAACTATACATGTGTATGTATAGGTGTATATATATATATATATGTATCGATGGATAGACATAGAGCAACGGACCCCTCTTCTTGCGGTGACTGATTCTAGCGAAACGTTGGACTCGTCGTGGCTTGGGGCTTCGCAAGCTTAAACGCATGCCTTAAAACTCGTTATCTCCCCTCGGGGTGGGGGGGCGGGAGACCGAAAGACAACTTGATTGAGAGAGTGGCAGCGGCATGGGATCCAGCAGTGGCTGAGAATGCCGCAAAACACGATGACACCACTTAAAAGGCCCCTCTGCTGAACCCGTTCTAAAACCCCCAGAGCAACGGACCCCTCTGTATGCGGTGGCTGATTCTAGCGAGACTCTGGACTCGTCGTGGCCTGAGGCTTCGCGAGCTTAAAGGCATGCCATAAAAAAACTCGTTCTCCCCCAACTCGCGAAACGATCCAGGTTGGATGTTCTCTAGGGCGGGAAGAACAAAGGTGGGATATAAATGCTATGTTGTCTACCGTGCTGGCTAGAAGTGCTGATGCCATAGACTGCGCCAGCAGTCGGGATATTCAGCGGCGAAAAGTATTCGCGATGAAATATATAGCATGCTTCAGCAGAGTACCACAAACAGCTTGTCAAGGGGTGCTCCAAGATAGCGAGAATCCCAAGCCCCAAGCAAAGTTTGAAAAGAGACAGAGCTATACTCGCGCGAGTTGGTTCCCCAGCTCCGCTGCTTTGGCATCCGAGGGTGTCAGGGGGCAGGAGAGCCCCGCGGCGCTGCACGGCTGCGCGCCAGTCTGGACCTGTCGTGCGCAAGAGA